TACTGCCATTCGTTTTAAAGTTACACCAAAACCAAATTAAATTTCGTGAAAAATCGATTTTGCTTTAAAATTCCCGTTTTTTCTTAATTTTTCTTTTGTTTTTCTTGGCGCTTTTGAAAATTACTGGGAATTTTAAACTTTGACCTCCCCAATGCACCAACGATATTCACTTTCCAATCGAACAAGATACTAAAGTTGAAAATCGAAGTATTATTTCGACTACTTATCGTGTACACAGACACTAAAACAAAAAAAATAAAAATAAAAAAAAAAAGACACATCATTGTAAAATCAATACATTCATCATTCCACTCAGAATCTAAAAATCGATTCTATTATTTTGATTTTTTTGACTGTAGTATAAATATAATTAGAAATAAAGTACAACATTGTTTGTCAAATGGTCCGATAGAAATTTAAAATGTTGGTGGGCGCTGCTTTCCATTAGTATTACTGTATTAAGTTGACTGGTGCAAAAAAACTATAATTCTGTTTAATTAACCGTTAGCTAATATTTAAAGTAAATCGTAATATTATAACCCAATGATTTAGAACAAGAGGATGTTAATTGTTAGCACAATATTTGTTATTTCTCTCGGACTCAAGCGCAACATAGATAAAATACTATTATTTAAAATCGTTTTCAATGATTTTTGAGTACCCTTAGTGTAACCTATTGCAAAAAATATAGAAAATAATACCAAGGTTTATTTACTTCCCGTATTTATTTATTGGTATAATCACAGTATAATACACCCAGTCTTGTAAAGTATTTGAATACTTTTTGGAGTATTTATATATATGGTATTCTATATACAATTTTTTTAATGTATTTTTTAAGTATTTTAATACTTTTTAAAAGTATTTTTAACAAAATTTAAATACTTGTATTAAAATATCATAGTCCGTTTTATTAATTTTGATTTATTATTTTTTCACAAAACATTGACATCAATAAAAATAATATTGTTTTTGTTGAAAACTAACATTATGTTTTTGTATAGTAAATGTAGGTACTAGGTAATAATTTTATATGGTTTCTGTATTGGAATTTTTTAAGAAAACAAAAAATCTAATAATTTTAAAATAGTTCCATATTAATACCACTTTTTATTTAATTTTTTCCATTAAAATTTAATCAATATTAGTTGAAATATATCTAAATGCAGAATGAAATATGTGAACATGTATTTATCTCTAAACAGTCAGACATTTCATAGTAAATAGTAATTGTTAAAATCTATGGTAAGTATAAAGTAGTAACAATTATAATGGGTACCTATACTGGTATAAAGCATAAAATTAAAAAAATACTTGTATTTGTATTCAAATACTTTGTGAGTAGGTATTCGTAAAATACATTTTTATAATAGTATTTTAAAAGTATTTTTAATACTTTTTTATTCGAATACTAGTATTAGTATCTTAATATCCTAAACCTAGGTATGTGCTCATTTAAATACCTAATAAATGATAAAACATATATATATTCAAAACATTTTATTTTAAATTCTACAAGTAATTATAGAACAAAATTTAATTTTCTTTTTTTTTTTAGTCAATAATATTTATTATTTAAGCAATTTTTAGCTTTCAATGAACCAATTACTGATAGCTATTAGCTAGTATGTTGTAGGTATATCCATGTTAGTTGATAATATACAAAATTGATAATGTTTTGGTATAAATGCGTAAAAACCATCGTGCAATAACCTTATATTATACCATAATAATATTTCATTTTCTAATGTATAGGAAAATGTATTATTATATCGTCTCCACCGCGTTGATATTGGTGACGGTGGCGACGGCCCGTGGCTGGTCTGCCACATATTATTATTCTTATAATAATTTATTATACTTGTATATATAATATACATATTATCAAATATCACATAATACGATTACCTATACGATTATATGTAAATTATTTTTAATTAATTGTTGAATATTGTGTTAAAATAAAAATTTACAAAAAATCCTTGCCATTTTTTTTCCTTGTAATTTCCTTACATTAAGTCATTAAGAACACTATTTTATAAAATTTAAAAAAAGGCCTATGGGGGGATCTGACCCCCACATCCCCCCCTTGTATACGCCCCTGGTCACAATGTCACATATTATAACTAACACATTTGTTATAAATTCGTAAAAATTCTTTCGTTTAATCCTATATTGTAAGTTGTTTTTTTTTTTATTAGCTTCTAGTTTAAACTATGATAGCTAAACAATTACAAAATTGCACTAGTACAACATTAAACATTACATTATGATATTGACTTAAAAATTAATATAATAATATGAATTGAAGACCTATAAGGTACAATAATTATATTTACTTATCTGGCGATTAAAAATATTTTAATTTAATTTAATTATGAGATAAGGAAGGTAATCGGAGTATCTGACTATGGAACAAGCTGTTTATTTAGAACAGCTGTAAGGAGCGTAATGAGGGGTGTGATTAAAGAGGAAAGTTCTGATATAAATTTAGTTAGTGGCTTATCAATTGCTTGGATATTGGGTAGTGGTATATTTTTGGAATTAGTAACGGAGGCGTAAGAAGTTTTGGGAGCGAGAGGGGGTGTTTGGAGATGAAGAGAAGTGAGAACCGGATTCAGATTCTGTGGTTTTGAATGAGTGGTTTTGCGTCGTTTGAGAAGAGCTTTGACAATTTGACATCCTTTGTAATTGTAAAATTCTTTTGTTTAATCCTATATTGTAAGTTGTAATACCTTATACCAATATATTATAATATTTTTGACGGCGCCTGTAGCGGACTGGACGACCGGGTTACCCGGAAATTTCCCGGTGAGCCGCTGCTCGTATACAATATATATTTATTAATATTATTATTGTGAAATTATAAATTAAAATATTATCTAATAAGTAATAAGTATGTAATATTATTTAGGGGACTGGAACGTAATCAATTGACCATTCGGCATTCTAACTTCCAAAGAGTAAAAACTAGGAATTTTATACTTCAGTGTATATGGGTCTTGTGAATGTGTTGAAAGTAAATGAACATTAGTGTGTGTAATTCATAGTACCGATCACGTTGTATAGGGTCATCATAGTGACCGGATATATGTTAGTACGTCTGTAATTTTATTTTACCATGCACAAGTCAACAAATATTACTTTATAAGATTACAAACATTTAAAAAAAAAAAAAAATGCCAGTGACTTCAATCACTACGCTCAGTAGGATGTTCTGATTTAAATTTTGAGAGCAGATTTGAATTCTCCTCTAAATTTTCTATGCTTTAACTGTTGCACATTTTTCATATCCTATATCAATAAATTATTTGAATTATGAATATCATCTATTTTTACTCTTTTTGTTAGTAAATTTCTAATTAGAAAAAAATAAAAATTAGAAAAATAAAATTATCAAAACATAGTTAATTTAGTGAAAAATTCAAATCTGCTTTCAAAATTAATATCAGATTATTATATTGGGCGAAGTGATTGAAGTCGTGAACTTTGTTTTCGAACGAAAATGAATCACGCTCCAGCCCCCTTAAAATCTAATTCACTGTAGTTTAAATAATTATATACATATGACAATTATTTGAGATATAATCTAACTAACAATTTTGCAATAGCTATTTCATTTTGTTTTGTATCAATTACTTAAAAATTTAAAACTTGTGTTTACAAAAGTATATTCATATATATTATATTTATATAAAGGGCAGTTAGTTTACTGAGGGCCTCTAAAATTATGATTTTCCCGGGCTGTTTTATATTATAAAATTACTGTGTTTATACTCTTACTGTAATCGAAAATTGTCAGAGAAAAAAAATATTTTGGATTGGATATTTTGAACGAATACCGGTGTTAACAACTGGGTAATGGGTATAATATTTATTGTTTTATTAATTAATTTAATTTGTTCAGTATTTAACATGTTCTAGTTTAGTTTCCATTTAAATATAATAGGATAATACTTAGTTTAATTAATTATTTTTTACACATTGCTCAGTGATCCCTGTACTATAATAGTAATAATATAAAGTATACATTTATAGTTTATACTTATTATAATATGCTATGGCCAGACCCAGACGGCCTACGACTTACGAGGGATTGTCATTTTGCGGTCTAGTCTTGTTCAAGGCGTATTGGCGGGACCGAATAAAAATAACCCAATCTAGGCACGCACCGGAACGAATGCAGAATATTATATCGACGGTAAAAAACGTTTGGAGATTTCGTGCAAACGTCAGCACTGTGTACCCACCTTCTATTTTCACTCCCACCTCTCGTCCGCAACAGACCTCTCTCAGCAATATCGTTTTAATCTCTTTATCTATGGAAAATTCCGAAATTCCAATACACCTTCCCTCCCACCGATCAACCCGTTGATTTTCCGCCGCCGCACAACAACAATAATAATAATAATAATAATAATAATAATAGTAATAGTAATAGTAATAGTAATAATAGTAATAAATAAATTAAATTAGTCCGATTAGTGTTTCCGTGTGCCAAACCGCGGTGGTTTTCCGTGACAGCAACACTCGACTGGACGCGCGCGCGCAACGGTCGTTCGAGCGTTCCCGAATTCCGATCGGTGTACGTACGTTTGTAATATTAAATCGTTTTCCGTTAATTGAATGTCGTCGGTCACCGTACGTCTATGATGCCCACGAGAACCGAAAACGGCATCGCCAGACATCAAATACTGGCCGCCGTGGATGTCATTGTCGGAGAACGCCAATGGAACTTGGTGCCATCCTGATCTATTAGGCGGACTCGTTCGCCAGGTCCACCGCAACAAAAGTGCTTCCCCAGTGTTTTGTTAATTCGTTAAATAGTATTAATTATTATATATGATATATTGCTCTTTTTGTTTTTTTTACCTACCATAGGTACCTACCGAGTTGTGTTATATGTATTTGTTTTGTTTCTGTACTTAGACCGATGTAATTTTTAATACAAATATTAGTGAGGTTGTGAAATTTTAGTTAGTATGTGTCGGTAAAGTGATATGTCGGTACGTTTGTCTAGCGGGTGTCTGCCCGCAAATGGTGAGAAACCACCTGCACCCTCGTCAGATAAGATCGATTCCAATGGTCAACAGAACAATTTGCAGGACCATCAACAACTGCAGCAACAACCTCGGAGTAATAGTATGGACTATTTAAACTTCGAGGAGAAAAGACAAATAATTGCGTCTTCCTTGTCATTAACGGACTTCTTGCACACTAGTGGTACAGCTACTACGCCCACATCACCGACCACTGGCAAGTTTATTATTGGTGAGCAAATTTATAAAATATACTTTGATCTATTCTTTAGAATCTTGTAGTGTATATTCATCAGTTAACGGTAACTTAAATTTAGTAGTTTCCTATGTTATAATAGATGGCTTATTCTATTGATGTTTACCTAGGTATTTAATTTTTTATTCAAAAGCAAAAATCTTTTTCGTTTATGCACATTAATATTTTACTGAATTACTGATTAGGTATCTACATTATTTTGTACCGACCTACTCAAAATAACAAGTAATTTATAAACTACCTGCCTATTAACCAAGAACTTATTCAATAATTGTTTGAAAATTAAAATCACGAGTCTCATAAATTTAGTTGCCTGTTTAAAAAAATACAAGTTGGTATCCAGTAAGTACTTCAATTATACTAAAAAAATAACTACCTATTATAAGTTTTTTTTAGATTTGAAATATTTATGTAAAATTTTATTTGAATTCTTCAAGTTATTGTATACCTATTGTTTTTTCATCGGGATTGCAATTTAAATTATACTTAAGAGAATAGTTATCTTATCAGCCCATACATTTTTATACTAATAATCATTTAAGTTATAATATTGATGCTTATGTTATAAGCTTCATTGGATGATTAATTCATGGTCAACAAATTGACATCAATTTATATATTTACAGTGAAGTGTAAATGTTGCACAATTCTATCCACTTAAAATTTGAATAGCTGTTGAACTCTTAAAATATATATTGCTATTTTGATTTTGTTTTAATATAATAGTAATCATGAAAACTTATCTAACATAAAATTATTATTAAAATTATAATATTATGTTACAGTGACAACATTAGACATTATGACTCATATACCTACTTTCATATAATATGATAACATTGTACATAAATATAATTAAACATATAGGTAGGTATTTTCATTAAAACTGTCTACCTATCTTTTTATTCCTATATCAAAAAGTTTGGTGCTAGGTTTGGTACTTATAGGTCGTTATAGGTAGTTATTATTCACCTTGTAGTTGTAAACTGTATGATCTATTATAATTTTTTTTTATCTTCTTTAAATATAATTTATTATAATTTTATCTATAGATAGGTATAGGTACAATTTAAAATATACAATATGGTAAAATGTAAAAATTCTTTAAATGTTAGCGATATCAATATTGTGGGCGAGCTAGCTAAGCCAAAGTGAGGCTATTAATTGTGTTGTTTCTATTGTTATTTTAAAGTTAATACAAAATGCTATTAAGTATATGATATGTGTGATGCATGTATGAAATTTAATATGTTAGTATTTAAATATGAGATATGTAGATATGTTATTGAGTCTTAAAATTCTCAGGTAGAGCTCAGATATTTTAAGTTTTTCAATTTAATCTAGCAAATTAATTTTTTTTAATTACCTAGAAAAATGTTAAATTGTAATTTTAACCTACTGAGGTAAAAGTTGTTAGTAGGTAAAATAGGATAAAGGTAATTTAATTTCACTAATAGGTTTGTTTGTAGCATTATTCATTCTAGACTGCCCTTTAGGCCTAAATATTTAAACTTGGTGTATTTTAAAATGAATAATTTAGTTTATGATTATTATTTTAATAATTATACCTACATATCATATAAGGTGATTCACCAAGCTCCCTGCCAATCTTTCATTTGATAATGAATTTATTTAAATTTTGGTTTTTGGAATTTTTAAATATACTTAGGTAGGTAGGTACTTAAAGACCATATTTTCAAATCCTTGAGATGCTGTGTACTACTTACTTAATAAGTGTGCTGTTGGCGATATAAATTTCTGTTTTTAAACAAGTACTACCTTTTTTACTGTAAACTATTTAGCATGTAATTTGATGGACATTTTTATGCATCTAATGCAGATTTTGAACCAGTAGTTTATGAGTTATTATAAAACTAAAATGTTTATATATTAAAGATAATAGTCCTTAAAAATGGATTTACCTACAAAAATGTAAAATAGATTAATATTGGATCTAGTATCTAAATTTTTAAAATTACAAATATTGAAAGATTAGTATAAATTACTACAATTTAAAAACTACCATAGGCCCCCCCCCCCATATCTTCCAAACCCAGTATCATGGACCTATAATTATTGTTAGAACACAAACTTTAATAAGTAATAACTCAAAAACTGCTTGTTAGAATTTTGATTTTGATACGTCAATATTTTTTAAAAATTATCTAATAAATAATTTACTGTTTAAAAAGAGGGGAATAGTCAATTGAAAAACAAAATTTTGTTTCTTCATAGGACACTCCTTAAGAAGTACAAACAATTTCAAGAATTTGAAAATATGTTTTTAATCCTTTTTAGTATAATTAAATATTCCAAAAATCATATCTTAAATAACTACATTACTTAAGAAAAATAGGGGGTTAGCATGCTTGGTGAATCACCTTGTATAATTATATGTATAGTCATCAATGTGACTGCTTATTACCATTGTATAAATATTGTTTTTATATTGCTAAACTAGATACATAGTTAAAAAATATAATTAAGAAACTGATGGTTTATTGCACCTACATTAATTATATAATATGCTATTAAACAACATTAATTTTCATATTAATATTCAAATAACTTAATTATTTTACATTAATATTAGTATCTATTATTTATATTATTTTATAATTTACTATTCTAATATCTAAAGAAGAAGATATTCTTTTAATGTTGATGACCTATACGCTATAGCTAGGTTGATATTACCTATATACACATCATGATTCATGATATACACATTCCCCAAATATCTTTAGATATTTTTCTTATACTATTGTAACGGTAAATTACTGTGAAAAAAAATAATTTGGTCATTCTATTGTTATGTTATGTGATCTTGTAAAGCATTACATTTTAAAATACGCGATAGGACATAGGTAGGTATTCCATTATAATAGATATTTATATGCTTTTTACAAGAATTTTGATAACGATATTGAAGTTTAAATATCTATAATGATAAAAATTTAGTTAACTTCTATATAAACCTACATAATATTACTATTAAAAATAAGTAAATTTCTATAAATTAGCATAGGTATATAGAAATTATTTTATCAAAAAAAAAATATATATACACAGATGTGTAATGTAATACCTACTTGAATATTATTTTGTATTTTTATTTTAAATTTATACCTTAATAATTTTATGATATACAAGGTTTATTTACTTTAAAAGAAATAGAGACGTACTATAGAATTGTAAAACAATTGATAATATAAAAATTGTTAAATATTACAAACAAATCAAGGATTTCATTTACAATTTGTGTTAAATTTAAATCATTTTGTCAGGTAGGTACTCAAATTCTTCATAATTAAAAATAATTATAATATGTAAAAAGGTCTATAAAATTCTTTATAAGTAGAATTAGTATTATCTTTGTCTATTATTTTCTTAAACATGCAGTTAATTAGGGTTTATTGTTACTGAATACATATACTATATTATAAACTTGTGCGTTTTAATAATATATTTTTAGTTGCATGACTGTAAATATAATTATTATTGTAGGTACTATAATTTATATTATCCTCGATATTATCACATGATTACCTACATTGTTATATTATAATTGTTATTACATTTTTAGCCAAGAAGCAAAATGGTACAGCACTTCGAACTAATAGCTTAGGATCAGGAACACGTACCAGTCCTTTACAATTAGATCGAAAACAACCAAGCAAGTTCTCTGCATTAGGTAAACTTTTCAAACCATGGAAATGGAAACGAAAAAAGAAATCGGAAAAATTTGAAACAACATCTAGAAGTAAATTTTTAATTTTCAAACCAACAACAATACATTTATATTCTCTATTTGTTTTTTTTTTTATTTAATAGATTTGGAAAGGAAGATCTCAGTACGAGCAAATCGAGATGAATTAATCCAGAAAGGAATCTTGTTTTTAGATAGTCCAATGGCTCAAACACACACGATCTCTGAATCAGGTATAAATAAAGTATACACTAATAATATTTTATGATTAAAACAGTCACACAATGGCTGTATGTTTATTTATTATTAAATATTAATAAGTGATAACAATAATGTCAATATATCAAAGTTGCATCCTCACATACATAATTTGGTATCTGTCTTAAATCATATACAATATATGGTATGGAGCTTCTACATAATATCATATTTGTGTAATAGTCTAAAGCACATGTGACTATATACGCAATGAATGTCTCATTTAAATGCTTAATGTGTGTATGCATAAAACAATTCTTTACTTATTTATTTATATTTTCTGACAAGTATTAAATACAAGGTAACTATAAGCAAATTACTTCTAAATTTCTAATATATCCATATTCAATGTTTGAACCATATTTAGCTTTTTAGTTAAATATGTAATACTTCTCTTCGCGTATACATAATAAGTTCATCTGAACGAGTTACCCATTTCTTTTATGTGCTTTAGAAAACTAAGAAATAGCTCTATCCATAGTATAATATCCAAGATAACAGTGTTAAATTAAATTTGTAAATGGGAGGGATATAGGCCAGTGGCATAATTACGGTGGTGGTGGATTTGAGTGTCGTACCCCCCATGACTTTTTTTATAACTAGCTAATCATATTTATTTACTTATTATTTATTGGTACTAATATAGTATATAAGCTAATAAAAAAAAAAAAAAAAAAAATATAGTATATTTTATAAAAATCCAAATCCCCTATGGTAGGTGTAACTAAGAAAATATTACTTTGTAATAAACACTAATCACTATTGCAAATTGAATATTGCACAAATATATTGAAATAATACAGTATAGCTCGATTTTTGGGAATTTTTTTCTAAAACCAATAGGTAATAGGTATATTTCAACGAGTTAAGTACAATGGTACAATCCGAATTTGTCGGTCGGACTTAGTTCCAAAGTTATAGGCTTTTGAAGATTGTAATTTTGAGTATTTTAAGTCTACGACAATTATTCCACGAATCTACTCAAAAAAGTACATTTAATACTGTATTAAATAGTATGTAATTATTTATTTTCATGTATTTTCATGCTTAATATATATACATGTACCCTACTTACATTTACAGATTACAATGGTTGAACTGAGGTTTTTATGATATAAACCAAATTTTTTTTTTGTGGGGGGTTGTATGTAATTGTTTTAATCTCCCCTGCAAACATGACCAAATTATACCACTGTATAGGTCACAACAATTTTTTCTGTCATAAAAAAATATTACCAAAAACTAATTATTATATGCTTACTTTTTGTATAAATTGTATTTTATAATTTATTTCTATAATTTTATTAGATAATTCACCCCAACTAAATCAAACTTCAAGTGGAACAACTACTTGTGTTACCGTCACTTCTAATATTGGTTCATCATTGCTCTTCCAACAGCAACAAAATAGATATTCTAACCAATTTATGAATGGTATGTACAAATTATTCATTACATAAATGAAACAAAGAGCAGGAATACAGTAAAATACATTAGAATAATATCATCAAAATATTAATTAAGAGAACTAAAATTTAAATTCCTTGCCAATGGAACCGAGCATACAAACAATTGCTGCATTATTATTGTTTTGTTTGATTTTAATTTAATAATTGTGTTAGGAATAAAAATAAATATACATAAAAGTGTAAATTGGAGTTATACAATTAATTGTCTTAATCTGTTAGACACAAATTAATGGTTTTAATATTTTTGTATCAAATTGATAGTTTTATCAGCAAAATATTCAAAAGTATATATACCAAATTTATCAATTAGCATATTTACTGATCTATTATGGCAATTTTAACAAAACTAGAAATTATTTTAAACAAATTTAGTACACTACGAATATAAAATATTAATTTAATAAAATCAATATCATCATTGAACAACTGCAATTTATTGTCGAATCTGGTGATTTTTGGTGAATTAAAAAACTTTTACATTGTCATACCCTTTGCCAAGTTTCAGATTATTTTTAACCTAAACAAAAGATTACATTCAATATTTTTAATAACTGGGATGTCGTATATTTTATTATTTGTAAGTCATTTCAGGAATATATTTAAAACATTCTTAATTTAATACCTACTATCCTAGTTAATTTTCCAATCTATGGTAGTATAATATTATGTGGTGTATGAACATTTCAGGATATATCTATCCTAAATAATTTGCTTTAAAATCATTAAATAAAGTTATTAGATAAAAAAGCATTGAAAATAAATTGTATTGTTTCACTCAGAATAAAAAATTCCATTTGAAACCAATACAACTAAACTATATAGAATAACATTTTATATGTATTAAATAAATCATAAAGGAAACCAATTTGTTGATTTAAAAAAAATTATTTTCAAATACATTGTTTGGAACAAAATGTAAATCACAGTACAATATATGAGAGAATGTGAAAAATCTATTGCCCTCCCCCCCACCAGATATTATTTGCATAATTGTTATAAACATTTTATAACAACAAAATAACATTTATACTTCAACTTATTATGTAAGAATTCAGTGCCTATTATTTATGTTTTATTTTTGATATTTTATTATTTATCTGCCTAGTAACATATTATTTTGTCTAATTGAAGCCATTAAAATTACTTTTCCCTATTCCCTTTTAAATTCATTGTTAAAGTAATTAGACACTATTAAATATATCATGGAATCCTTAATAAATCATAATATTATTAAATCCTTTATAAAATAAAATAGTGTAGATATTTATTAATGATGCAAAAATCTAATTAGTTCACACAGTATAATAATTAAAATGTATTTAGTTTTCCCAATTATTAAGACAAGTAATGGGATTTTTTTTTTTACTGTCCTCCTATGTACCATCAAGGCATCAACTACCATCATAGTTGAAGATAGAAAAACATTTTCTGCTCCAAAACTTGATAAATGACACAATAATATAAAAAAAAATCATAATCATTATTCATTCCTCACTACTCTCAAAATCTAAAATGCTGTACTAAAAATATTGTTGTTTTTATTAGTTCTATATGTTATTCTCTAAATGATTATAATGAGTAAATAATTGGTATCTAAATAACAAATACATAAGTTGGCATTTGATGTTCTAAAATTTTTGGAAATAGGTAATTCCCACTTTTTTACTATAAGTATTGAAAAAAAAATATGACTATGACAATATGGTTAAACTGTGATGAGGGAAACTGAATAGAGACCTGGAAAAGAATTTTCAATTTGTACTTTTTGAAAAATGTCATTGTATTATATTTTATTTACTTTACTATCATCACAGCAATAACATAATATTTATACCGTAATTTGTAGTCCTTATATATTTTGGTAACTAACTCTTCCTAATCCTAAAACTAATTATTGTAAGAAATGTTTAAAAATATAAAATAACATTTAATAAAACGCAATAAAAAGTTCCATTCTTGTTAATATTTTTGCTGATAAAATTATGGTAGTAAACATGACTTGATATTTAATCTGCAAAAGTTCCAGCAAAATACTGTTAAAAAGAACAAATATAAGGAAAATGTATACATATTTAAGAATTACCTGTATAGAATAAACATGTATTAATATAGCAAAGCCTCTAAATACTGAAAAATTTGGGTCACTAAAATTGTGACTGCTATTCAGAGGGTTCAGTTTGTAGAACATTTGTAGTTTGTTCCTGAAGAAATCGCTGTTATTTGGAGGTATCCGCTATTTAGAGGTTTCACTGTATTTAAAATCCGGGAAAGTCGCTCTGATATATAGCGTAGGTATATCTACAACCTAGTTATAGATGAGTCACTGTAACAAATATGTTAAATGTGTATGCAATGAAGGAATTATCTGAACAGATGACGGAAACTATATCCAAGCATAATTTATAATTTATTTGTATTACCTACTATCTGTAATACGGTACCTAGGTTGAATGAGTTTAATCCACAACATCATATTATATTATAATAATAACTTTATATGATAATATTGTTATTAACTTATAAGTCAATATCGACGTACCGTATATCAGTAGTAATAGGTTCATGGTAACAATAATTTTAAATTAGCTTAAAATATTTTGAAAATTTCATTGTGTATAGAAAATAATAATACATGTAATGGCAAACGGTTTTAAAAAAAAAAATTACAAAATAATTAAATACGTAAGTTTTCCACATCCATTTTTGTTAATATTTCCATTTCGAACACTTAATTGTGAGAATTTCGATATGTTTTAACTGTGGTAAAAAAAAAATGAAAGGAACCTACCTAAATTTGTTAACTTAAAAAAAAACCATTTATAAACATAAATCGAAAAAAAAACTAAAAACTCAAGTGTTCAAATATCCCAAAATGAGCAAACTTTTTTTGAAAATTATTTTTTGTATATCAATAAAATAAAAAATTATTTTTGGTGAACCTTTCAAGTATCAACGGTTATTTATTCTTGAATTACAACAACATTGGTGTTGCGTATTTTTTTTTTCAGTTTTTCCCGATTATTTTGTACAGTTAATTCTTGACCCAAAGTACCATCTCTGACAAATTTTTCTAGCAGAAGCAATCCTCTAATTTAAAGATTGAAACATTCGTTCTGATCCAAAACGTGATGAAACACAAAAAAAATTTAATGAAATTAAATTGAAAAATAACACATTGTATATATTAACCAATAGAATCTAAAATAAATATTGTTTATCGTATATTTTATTTTAGATACCCTTTTTTTGGTCACTGATATACTTGGGTATTTGAAATCCTTTTTTCGTAAATGAGTGACATTTTAATTTACTATTTTGAAAAGATTTACGATTTACCTTTATATTTTTAAATATTTTTTCGATATATTTCAAGCAATTTATTATTACTATTGCATTTCAATTTTAAATTATAATTATTTTATGAAAACCATTTAAAAACCATTTACTAATCCTGCATCTGTAATAAATTATTTAAATGCTTTATTTCAAAGTAATTTACTGAATCAATCCTACTGTATTAGCTATATCAGTAAATGTATCTTTCCCGCCTATAATTATTACATAGTAGACGTTATTGAGTTGGCTACCCTGATTGGATTTTAAGGTAAGGCGGAAATGAATTATTACACACAGGAAAAAGTAATGTTATGTCGTGCACTCTCCACTATGCCATGGGGCCCCCTCAAATCGTATATCCACGGCAACGGTAGTTAGGTTTTTAAACTTCGTGTGACGTGACCCGCCGTGTAGTCGCTACCGTTTCATCGCTGGTTAATTTGTTTTTTTATGAGCTTTTGACAGTATACCACTAGACGATTTACAAAGGTCAACTTTGAACAAAATACAAACAACTGCCCGTTTTTTTATTTATGAAGTATAAGGCTGTTTTAGATCGAGTTGTAGCTAATTTATTCATGTTACCTAACACTCGAACTACCCCCAAAACGACCAATGATGGGATATATAATGAAATGTTCTTGTTTTCACAGAGGTATGTTACATTTGTAAACGCCAGTCAGTAGTTTTTCAAGTTGATTAATATTTTATTGCAATCAAAATTTAAAAAAAATAATAATTATAAAAATGAATATAATTTTTTGTATTCCACGGCAATAATGTATCAACCTTGTGTGTAAAAACAATTATTTTATTTATTTTTAAAACTTATTTTTTAAATTATTTATTCAACTTTCATGTCGTGATTGAAATTTTGATGGATTTTATAGATTAATGGAGTAACTTTTTAAATTAAGAGTTATGTCCTGTTTGACTAAATATATCCAGTTTAGGACTACTACCTATATAAAGACTAATATGATATAAAAAATAAATATAAGATTCGACAGACCGTAGTTTTTCTTTTAATTATTCTTAAGAATATCACTCTAATATTTTATTAAAATATCGAACCGTTCATAATTTATACATCTAATGTTGTAATATTTTTTTGGCATTTGTATGTGTGGAAATCTTATATCCATTTAAAAAATCGAATATTTTCTTACGTTTCGTGACATTCAATATAATATAGTACCTATAACTAAAAGAACGAAGAACCCTAATGATAGTATTTTTAAAAGCAGTTAATAAATTGCACAAAAGTCAATAATCACAATTATATTAAAACGTTTCGTTTTTTAAAAAAAAAAATGTATTTATTAAACTTGTATTGTGCCTTACAATATAAATATTTTACAAAATTATTAGCTTAAGTGCGATAAATTTAGTGTATTGTGATTTTGATAGAAGCCTAAATTGTAGGTATTATTAGTTATGATCTGATTATAAACTCAAGTCACGGTTGGTAAGAACTAATAATGGAACGTTGATTTCAACAATGTTTCACAGTTCGCATAGCAGCGATGTTCATCTTTATATGACCGTTTACGTATGCGAAACATAAAAGCATTAACAGTTAAAGTAACTGTACACTATAATTATTAATTTGTGTCACAAAATATACAA